CTTTCCACACTAGTAACAAAAGGCACTCTTGTCTTTAACGTTTACGCTTCTATTTTATTGAGGTAGCAAACTAGTTTAAACTCAAAATCTCTTTCTAAAAAACAAAAACAACCTGTTGGATACAACCCTCTCATAGCTTAACTGTAGATAAAACTCGGCAAAAAATGTAAATAACTCACGAAAGCTCTCATAGCTCAACTTTAGATAAAACTCTGCATTCTCCGGTGAACTCTGTTCACTCCAAAAAACAAAAACTCCCTTTTTCTGTATGTAATTTAAACCGTGATCACTGAAATATTGTTGCTTCTTTACTTTTGTCATTTATCAGCCTGAAATTCGTCAATTTCAAAGCTTTTGTAACAAAGGCCTCTTTAACACGTTTCCCTTTTTATAAATTGCTTTTAATTTTACACCATGGTTTCACTTAGGATCCTTCTCTATCTTTTCTCAAAGGGACTCTAACCCCGAAAACGTTTTCTCAAAGGGACTCTAACCCTGAAGCTTCTTCTCAAAGGGACTCTAACCCCGAGACTTTTTCTCAAAGGGACTCTAACCCCGAGACTTCTTCTCAAAGGGACTCTAACCCCGAGACTTCTTCTCAAAGGGACTCTAACCCCGAGACTTCTTCTCAAAGGGACTCTAACCCCGAGACTTCTTCTCAAAGGGACTCTAACCCCGAGACTTCTTCTCAAAGGGACTCTAACCCCGAGACTTCTTCTCAAATACAATTTAGAGAGTTTGACAGACCCCAAAAACAGACCAAAATTTAGCTAGTATCCAATTATACAGACTGTACATATAAAAAGGTGTCTGCTTACCTTATTCTTGTCAAACAGGTACCAAGGACTGTCCGAGAGGTCTGCCAACCTCTTTTCCGCGTCGGAATATTCAATTTAAAAAACAAAAGTGACAGAAGCGACAAGAAGCATCCAGGAACAGCTCTTCCAGCCTGCTGGAATCTCCGCTCCCAGACACAGCATGCCGGTCTCTCACGCAGAGGAAAAGAAACAGAGCAAACTCCCTCAAAACAATCCAGAGAATGGCACACACTGAGCCGCGCATTCTCCACCAAATCTGTCAGGATTTAGCAGACAGAGACGGATCGTGGTGTGCCAAACTCTGGAAGTTTATTTAAGTTTCTCTCAAGTTCCACTGGTTTACTCTGTTTCTTTCCCTCAGACAGAATAAAGGCAGTACACAGTTTATATAGTCATTGTCACGTCACACATCGAAAGACATACGTGTCACAAAGAGACAGTCAAATCATAGTCATAACATGGAGTCCTTGTAGAGTCCTTGTACAGTCCTGCACGTAGGCCATATTGCTATCTAATACTAACAATACGAAGCAGTGAGAGAAACAAACACAAACTTGGCTCTTGACGCTTTTGGAAATATTCTTCTGTATATTTCTGATTTCAAAACCTGTATAATTTTGACTCAAAGGTTTAGACTTCCAATGTCGTGTATATTTGAGTGGATATGAGACAGATTTTAAGAGTGGCTTATGCTCTGAAGCGGATCATTTTTCACCAATTATTTGTATAACAGTTTGGAGTCGCATAAAATATAACACTAGATCGGTTTATATATTATATATAAAGATAATGCTATATTTTTGTCAAAGTCAAGAGTAAACTGGTAAACTTTGATCTTACGTACTGAAACAAAATTAAGATAGGACCAGTGGGGGCAGGTCCCGGCTCAAAAGTGGCCAAAATGACGTGCGCTGACATGCTTGCAATACCACCCCGGGCCGATGGGGGTGGACCCGGAAGTAGAATGAGCCAATGCTAACATATAGCATCAGCTGACCTCTCGAAAACGTCTTTACAAGATGGTCCAAAAGTTGGCTCTTGGCCCAAAGCTCCGTTCCACATGTGTGTCAATGCTGAGGGGAGTGGATTTTTTTGGTCCACTCTAGTTTACCCCCTGTGAATTTTTGAAGTCTCTCGTTCAAATGAATGGAGCTGCGCCGGCTGACGCATGCGCAGATGCTTTTTTTCACAATTTTCTTGTAGAGCACATTTTTTGGCCCATTTGTTTGAACGCCGGAGATAGGCGTAACTCTGTCCGTTAATATTTACAGTATGGATAGGACACAGTATAGATAAGATAAGATAAGATAAGATAAACCTTTATTAGTCTCACAGTGGAGAAATTTCAGTGTCATCGTTGCGCACATTACACCAGAGAATCAAATCAAATCAAATTTTATTTATGAAGCGCTTTTCATACAAAAGATGCAACACAAAGTGCTTTACAGTTTGGTTAAAAACAATCCCGCCGGCCCATGTCCCCTCCCCCCGACCACCCAACAGACCCATCCCAAACCACAGACAAACACACACACGCTCCCATGCACACTCTCTGACACACACACACACACACACACACACACACACACACACACACACACACACACACACACACACACACACACAAGTAAAACAGTAAAACAATGATGAGAGACTTGGCAGAGTTCGGATGCAACCAGTTGAAAAAGCGTCATCCTAGGAGCCGTCTGCACCAGGAGCAGAGAGTCGCCTGTAGCCACAGGGGACGACACAGGACCTAGAGGAGACATGAAACCGAGGCCCCAGGCCCCCACCAGGTCCAAGAGTCCGACCCCCACAGCCATGCCGACCACCGCTCCCAGTGCAGAGGGCTCCTCCAGAGGAAACACTGGGTACACTAAAAACAATACAATAACAATACAATATGTAAAACACAAAAATGTGAAACTAAAATGAAACTAAAATGAACTAACACACAATACATGAATAAAAGCAATAGCAATACAATAAATAATAGAAGATAAATAGAATATATAAAATGAAATAGTAAAAACTAATCAAAAGCTAATCTAAAAAGGTGTGTCTTGAGCCTGCTTTTAAAAATATGAACGTTCTCTGCGGCCCTGAGCTCCTCCGGCAGACTGTTCCAGAGACGGGGGCCGTAGTGCTGGAAAGATGCCTCACCGTGAGTGTGTGTCCTGACTTTGGGGGTGGTTAGAAGTCTGCTGCCGGAGGAGCGCAGGGGCCGGGAAGGTTCATAGGATAAAAGCAAATCTGAAAGATAAGAAGGCCCAAGACCATTAAGACATTTAAAAACCATTAAAAGAACCTTAAAATCGATCCTGAAACACACGGGGAGCCAATGCAGCGATTTCAAAACCGGTGTAATGTGGTCCCGCCCCCTGGTCTTAGTCAGGACACGTGCGGCCGAGTTTTGGAGTAATTGTAAACCTGAAATGTTCTTTTTGGGAAGACCAGAGAGCAGGGCATTACAGTAGTCAATGCGACTGGTTATAAAAGCATGCATCAGCGTCTAAGTGTTGCCCCGAGAGAGAATGGGGCGGACTCTGGCGATGTTCTTTAGATGATAAAAACCTATTTTTGTGATGTTCTTGATGTGAGGAATAAAAGTCAGCTCAGAGTCAAAGATTACGCCCAGGTTTCTCACTTGTGATGATGGATTAAAAGAGTGTGATTGGAGTTTTGATAAAAGTTTCTCTCTCTGGGCCTCAGGACCGATGACTAAAACCTCAGTTTTGTCCTGGTTGAGCTGGAGAAAGTTTTCTGCCATCCAGGATTTCAGGTCTAAAATGCAGTTAAAAAGAGCATCCATTGGCCTGGTGTCGTCAGGAGACATGGAGATGTACAGCTGTGTATCATCTGCATAACTGTGGAAGTTAATTCCATGTCTCCTGATGACACCGCCAAGAGGGAGCATGTACAGGTTAAAAAGGACTGGACCTAAAATGGAACCCTGGGGCACACCACATGTGATTTTATGGACCTGAGAGGAGCAGGTATCCAAACTTACCATGAAGGATCTGTCTGTTAAATAAGAAGTGAACCAGAGAAAGGAGATAAGAGCACTCAGAGCAATCTCTGAGTGCTCTTATCTCCTTTCTCTGCTGTAATGTGCGCAACGATGACACATTACAGTCATGTAATGTGTCATTGTTGCGCACATTACGCATAAACATGTTTAGACAGATGGCCTCGTTATTTTCTAAACACAGTGAACCAATTAGTCCTAAATATAAACAGTATAGGACATGTTCTCAAGCCACAAGATCTGGACAGATTAAATTGCCACAAGCTGCAGCACGCGAAAGACCAGGACTTCTTGTGATGTTGCATGTTATTTTGTGTATTTGGCCTGAGCAAAACTGTGGGTTAAATGAACTGACAGTTTGTGAAGCTGTCTTTCCCAAATGTAGTAGCACGATGACTGCATAAATAATGAATCAAGAAAATCAATTTTATGTCATTGTTGAGGCAAGTTGGGTCGTGATGCTGCTCTGTCTCTGTGGGGCACTTTGGAAACTAGGGCTGTCAGAAGTATCAAAAAAAATCAGATACTGATAGATGCTAAAACTAGTATTGAAAGTGCAAATACTGGAAAACAACATCACATTACCTGAAAATATTTTTATGCATATGTTCTATAAATCATTGTGGTACCACAACAATGAATTAAAAACACTGTCATGCTGTTGAGCTTATTTAATAGAGCTCATTGTCCACAATGTACATGCCTTTTTCAGAAGAAATATTATGCCTTACTTTTCTACGCTATGACAAAGGACTTTTACTTTTAGAACTTGAAATAATATCTAAACTATAGGGTGAAAGGGTAAAAATGCTATCCACCTGAGTTACACCAGAGGCAGGAAGTACATAGGTTTGTTTCTTTGCCAAATTTAAAAATTACCGACTGCAAACACAGCCATGTGATTGTAAAGGACTTTTATTCATTTAGGGGTGTGCCAGAAGTTCCTGATATTAACATGAATGAGTCTATAATCAACTCCAGGTCTATTATGTATGAGGAAACAAACATACTCGATAATCAAAGTTGTCTTTGAGCATAAACATATACAGTATATATGAGTTTGTAATTTCAGTATTGTGACAAATCATAAACTGTTTGTTTGTAAGATACGTTGCCTAATATTGAGGCATTGATATTCTTCCGTGCACACTCACAGGTCTGCCGAGCCTTGGCCTTGCGGGAGCTCTTTGTGGACTCGCACCAGACCGTGAGGCCGTCCTCCAGGAGCCGGAGGTGTCTGCTCTTCTGCCACCGCGACGACCGCACCTTCACCATGTTACAGCCCTGCATCATCCACTGCACGTCCTCATTGTCCACCAGACCTGCCGCAAGCACAGGGTTATAGTTACAGCTGGAGTCACTAACGTATTCCTATGTGGTTTCACAGCAAATGGCAAATAAACTGAATCTTAACACACTTTTTGTTGTTTTTTCATGAATATATTACCAACAGAAAAAGGTTGGTTTAATCCTGTGGCACCCTCGGCCACAAAGAAGTATGACTTTTTGGTTTAATTCATTAACTAATGTATGTACTCGAGAACCCAAATAAGCAAATATGCTGCATTGCTAAATTTGGTCATAAAACGCGGCTTTCCAATTTCTTACCCATCCCCATTGACAAAAAATAGCACAGATTAAAATGCAAATCAGACAACAACCTTTAGTTTATCTTTGTCTCTATTGGTATCTCTCTTAGTATGTAAAAGATTAAATGTTTTCTAATGAGATAAGAACTGTATCTTGTGGTATAATTCTTTAACAACATTTTACTTAAACAAGTCACTTTCTGTTGGGAAAAACAAGTATATCAATATTCAATCAGGGAGAAAAAGTCAAGAGGGAAAAAAATAGATATATTTTCCTCCAGATTTCCCGACCGTAGCTGAGATACTGAGGCGTGAAAATAAGTATCTCGCAGCATGCCCAATGAAAATGTGTTGGTAAATCAGATCCAAAACTCACATCTCCAGCTTTTCCCCCAACTTTCACAGACAAAAATGCATCATCGCAAACATTTGAGCTTGCTGCTTTTACAAAACTATTTGTCACTTTAACATTATCACTGATTGTGTTGTTGGTTGCACTCGACATCCTTCATTCGTCTTGTTGTGGAAGCTGCATTTAAATGAGTCAATGCAAATTATAATTCATGTTTCTACTCCCACCCTCAGTCAACAAATGTGCGTTTTTCTGCAGACAGTGACTGCGCGTTTGAGTGGTTTTTTTCTCACCAACGCCATTATGATAATATGCTGCTCATCAGTGTGTCTCTGGAGGAACATTTGGACCACAGGCAGAGAGGAGAATAAACAAGACTGTTAGTAAATCACCTCATTTTGCTCATATTCACACAAACGTAACCACAAATGTATCGATAATAGCCCGGCGTAAGGCATCCATTCATATTGCATACAGTAAGATGAAGGATATTACTAATACGATCATAATTAAACTCAGCGCTGTGGGGTATATTTACAATCCAGGTGCTTAACTGCAAGAGCCAAAATAAAAGTTAATGTTTGTAATGCCTCATAAATAATATATTGGTTTCTCAACAAAATAAGTGTTGTGAACCAAAACAGAGAGTGGGGGAACTAGTTAGATGGATATTATTACATAGGCCTTGAAAGTTAGCTAACCCAGCGATAAAAAGTGTGCCAATTTTGTATGGTTTAGTTACATTTGTCGTTTATGTGCATCATAAAGTAAATCAGCAATCCCTTGTAAAATAGATCCCTGTTTATTTTAATGTTATCAATCAATGTGTTAGAAGAATAGAGTCGAGTTGCCAGAAAATCTCTACATTTCTTCTCTGTTATGCACTTTCCCTGTTTCTTCACTCACAATGGCCTTCATTCCACTTTTATCATTACACAAAGCTTCCAACAAAGAAAGAAACACACACACACACAAACGCGTGCACACATACCCACACATTGAGTAATCCCTAGACAGTTTCATAATTAGGGCATTGGACGAGGCAAAGCAAACAGCAAGATGACACAATTAATCCATGTCTGTCTTGAATCTACCATTTATAAAACAGATGTGATAAAAACTCATGAATGATAATGAATCATAATAATGTGACGTCTAGGGCTGTTGATCTTAATACACATATATGTTGTAACTGTTTAATGCAGATAACACACTTTTTCCTGACCTGACCAACCGGCCTCATTATGTACGGCTCAGTAATTTCTCTGATTATTGTTGTAAGCATTATTGAAGCATATTTTGCCTCGATGTTGTTCTGCCACAAAAGACAAATGCTTTCCCAATAACAAATCACTTCTGTCCTCCTAAATCAGAAGGAGGAGACATTTAAGCTGGGTGAAAGGGGAAGAAAAGAAGGACAGAGAGAGATAAAAAGGAACTTCAGAGTTTCCGAGTCCGCTTATAAAAAACTAGAAGAAAGACCAAAAGATAAAAACGCTGGGGAGGTGCAGAGAGAGGTGAAAACATGGAGGTGAAAAGTACTTCTCCAACAGGGGATAAGGAGTGCACCGCTTATTTCAATCTGTTTTTTATCAGATTTAATACGAACACTGCATCTCCCCCGTCTCCCTCACTTCCTAACTCTGGCACGGTCGGGTCTTCTACTGCACCACCGTTCGAGAGGTTAGGTTAGAGTCAAGCTGAAGAGGCTGAAGGTCCCGTAAATCTGCGTCTCCTGATCAACTGCAACTCCTCTACAGACTTTTTGTACAGTCTCAGTCTTCACCACACGGGCAGAGTTCTAAAACAGTGGGAAACATTTGGTCTCATCTCTCGGCCCAGAGATGCTGCTCTGTATTCGGAAAAACCAGGAAATTGCATTCAGACATGATCATAGGAATGACCAGGAATTGTCTCATTTTGAACACTGGTAAAGCAAAAAATATATATATCATAAAGTTCAACCAGAAAAAGAACACTCAACATAAGTGGACGTGCTATTGATTCAGTTTATGTGGCTGCTGTCAGTGTGTACAATGAAAACTGTTTAACCCTGGGTAACATAGGCTAAAATATGCCATGTCATGTAACTTTCTACCCCTTTATTAGTCCATTTCTGGGTTGGGGGGTGGTAATCAGAGCTGCAACCCAATACTCATAGCATCAGTCTCTTGCTGATCCTCCTGCAGGTGGTGGGTCCATGGGAAGATTGTTGGTAAATTATTTTAATAATTTTGGTGTTGTTGTACAGTATGTATCTGTCTATTGGCGTGATCTGTGTCAGCCACTCATGGGCACTTGAAGTCCCCCACATGGGATACAGTATTAATCTATCTTTCAATCTATCCATTTTCCATGTACTTTCTCAAGCCAAACTGTGAGGGTAACACAGTGCATAGCCAATGGATTTTGTTTAGCTTCATTTCACATCATAAAAAGAGCCATCAGCCCAGAGCAGAGGCGACAGAACAGCTTACATTTCAGACAGTTAAAAGTTGAGTTCAATTCTCATGACCCCATCACAGGACTGAGAGCAAGGGTCCTCGTGCTTCATTGATTTCTTTCTTTTTAACGTCAATCCTATTTGAACAACGAACATAACATTTGCCCACAAAAACAGACACAGATACACTTGCTATTAGAGCACTTACAATTTTCTCTTTAGTAAGTCGTTTTTTGAAAAGCCAGATATATTCTAGTGCAACTTTTTTACACATTTTCAAAACAGACAAATCTTTTTGAAAATAAAAATGATTAAACTGGGCTCCAAGCTCTCACAGATACAACTAAAGGGGTTCTATAGCGAATACATGAGAAATGTTTAAGACTCAGAATGAATTCATTAATTGATTGTAAGTATTGTTTATGTTCCAGTCCCCAAAATAATTGTTTTATTTCTGGATTTGACACGTCCAAACTAAGGCCTGTGGGTCAATTGTGGTCCTCTGTGTCATTATAAGTGGCCCTTTAGTCTATCTTGCCCACATCAGTCTTTGAGATCACAAGCACAACTTCACAGTGTCATCCAGCCAACTTCAGCTCTACCAATATAGTCATGTTGTACCTTGTTAGAAACTACTAGAATTCAGCCATGGACTTTTGCATTTGTACATACTATACTGACATTTGTTGTCTGAAAATGACAATTATGAAGCTAATGTGAGATGGTAAACATTTTCTTCATTTCTTCTTCATTTCATATCTCATTTCTAAACAGTTTCACAATCTCGTCAGCCCCTGGACCAGTCTGGTGAACTAAAGTAGCCCTCCTGCTAAAAACTATTGACACTCGGTTTCAGTTCCTGTTTTACTCAACATTTTGAGGACTTGATGCATGGATTCCACAAATTACAGTTTGAAATGTTGCAACATATATTAATTCTATAATAATTCTTAAAAGAAAATACAAAAACTGGAAATTGTCACATGATAACAAAGTGATAAAACTGTGTGGTACAATAGAAAGCACTATTTTCTTACATCCTGAGGCCAAAACAGATTTATTTTGGTAAAGTGAATAACCTCAGTGGTTTCAGAAATGGCCTTTCCTTTATACATTCCAGTTATACATTGCTATACATTTAACCTGATGTGGGAATTTGGAAAACAAAACTTTGAGAACTTTGCAAATATGGAATTTTAAAGACAAAATCACTATCTCTATATGAGAATTTGGACACTGACTTCCTTTCTGTGCCAAAATAGAGCCGCCCCATCCAACACAGCCACCCCTCCTTTTGCATTACCCTGGTCTGAACGGGTGCAGCTCTCTCCCCATTGGGTGAGAACACAAAAGAGTCCCGCTGCCAGGCCTGGGTCCATAACAACCTGTGTTTTTCTAAGCTGTTACCACATTGGAGGCATTCCCACAAGCAGAGCAAGAAGAGGGCTGAATAACTGCAGGTCAATGCCCCAGCCTCCACAGCCACTCCATGTGTTTCACCTTCTACAGCCGCCTACCAGAGCACCACAGTCCTGCTTTTACTGTATTCACCAGAAGGTTTTGATAGAATGATTTAACTAAAGGGTTTGCTTTATTGTATACAAGCTAGGAGAGCATATTACAGTTTTGCATCACCAGTTAGGGAAAAGTAGGAATGAGGAGCACACAGCACAAGATAAATGAACAATAACTCATATAATAAAATCTCTGACTTTAGCATGATGGATATAAATAGAGAAAGTATTTTGTTATACAGTCAAAAATCACGTTGACAGCTGTTCAATACTAGAGGCATTTAGTTATATGTATTTGCGCTGCTAAAAGGATCCTAATGGTTCCGTTACAGAGCAGAGGACGATGTGATTTGAGCCGTATTGCTCTGATGAAGATGGCCGAAACATGGAGTAGCCCAACTGCTCCGGTGACGTCACTGGACTC